TTATCTTGTTACATTTTATCTAGTTATATACATATATATGTTTACTTATTTTAGTTTACAATTTTGTTTGTATTCTATATTTTTATTATTTTTGTTACAGGTTACTTACTACTATTATAATATCACAGATCATTTTGCTGTATTTGCGTCTACTTATACAATTTCTATTCAATCCTTGTTTCTTTTTACAATATTCTCTACCATTTTACAAGCATACTTGAGAAACTCGTCTCTTTCTTCTATATTTGCAATAATTTTTTCTAGGTTTGGCCTACTAAGTTGTGTGTTGATGCTGCTTTGTAAAGTGTGCCTATTTATACTAAGTATTGGGCATTCTAGCAGGATATGGAATATATCTTGTTTTGTTTGGGGGTCGCATTCGCAGTATGGGGTATCCCTGCATTTGTATTCATGGAGGTAGGATCTAAACCCTCCATGCCCCGTTAGCAACTGTGCAGCCCATCTATCAATCTTCATCTTACGTACGACGCCGAAGGCCAATTCTCCACTGAGGAAAAAGGCCTTCGTCGTGGTCGCGGTACTTTCGCTCCTATAGCGTCTGTCCCATTCTACTTTTGTCAAACTGCGTAAATGCCTTTTGACAAAAGAGATGGAACAGCCGTCGTAGTGCGACTTGCATTTTAATCCGAGAGCCGCCCCCTTCGCCAGCTCATCCGCTCTCTCGTTCCCAATCACGCCGACGTGGGCCCTGATCCAAAATAGGGAGACCTTGCGGTCTAGTTCCCTAAGTTGGACCAGGTTGCCTTGTATCGCTTTCGTGATTGGGTGCGACGAGTCTGGATCTTGCAGCGACTGTAGGGCGGATCTCGAATCGCTAAGCACCGCGACCTCCTTCCATTCTTTACTCATCATGCATTCTGTCGCTTGGAGGATGGCATACAGCTCGGCTTGGAAGACTGTACAGTATGGACGATACTCGTATTAGTGGTACGCTGTTTCAAATGCTCTTCCTTTGCTTTTGATCTTTTTAAAATGTTATTTGTTTTTATGTCTAGTTGTATGCGCAATCTATTTTTTTCTGAGAGAAATCTCTGGTTAGCGCTAAGTTTGTCTTTAATATACAGTTAAGAATGTTATGTATGTAAATATACATGTATGTTCGTGTCATTTTCTTGTTTGCAATAAAGACTTTACTTACTTACTTAACCGCATCATCAACCGAATGCGCTAACCTCTAATCTTAAAAAGAGAAAAAAAAGTCATTGTTTTATGCATCGAATTGGTTCCGAAACCACTAAACCGATTTTAAATATACTTTTACCTACCAGAAGCTACGCCATACTTGAGTCATACTGGTTATATTTTACGCAGCTAGTTAAAAATTAAGTAAATAGGTACGCTTGTGGGGTACAGGCAGGTTGAAGGCAACACCGATTGGCTATAATCAAAACTGCTTTCTTGCTCTCTATTCTGCAAAGTCCGACCTCTTTAAAAGCTCGACCGCATTTCTCTATCAAAGGAAATTTCAGACTCAAACAGTACTGCATAAGTGTTGCGATCAGCAGTTAGACGTGCTAAGTTATCTTCCGGAGTTTTCTGAGATCAAACGCTTGCTGTACGAGTTCTCTGAGAGCTCAAAGTATTTATCCTAACAATGAATGCTGCAGATTCAACTTGATAGTGCATAAGCGTCGCGATGGGCATTTAAATACGCTTCGCTCCCGTCACGTATCTCCTGTGACCGAGCGCTTCCTGTCCGAATTCTGAGAGCTCAAGCGACTTTGTTTGTCAATAAAATTCTTAGGGTCGACAGACATGCCGCCACGTATCTTTCGTCAGACATGCGCTTCTTATTTGTCGCAGAACGTCAGACAACTAAAAAAATTAATTATATTAATAACGACCTTGCACACTCGACGGAAATCATGTACTTATGCATATATACTTCCTTGAGGTGCTTGACTGAGTTCCATCAATTTTTCACCGACACTCAGATTTATGTAATATTACATGAGCCTCATGACCAATGAATAAACCTGTGAAGACTGCAAATACCAACTTTAAAGTAAAGTAAAGCAATTTGAATGTAAAAAAAAAACAAAAAGGGTAACATAAGACTATTAAGAGGAAAAACATTGATGTAACTTAACTCAAGTTACATCAATGTCTTCACATATTCAAGAACGGTGTAAAATCAGTTTAGGTTCATGCTGAGTCAAAGTTTCTGTAGGTAATCTGGCCTTACAATTCCTACGTCTCGCTGCAGGATCTTCGTAAGAATCTCATCCTTTTAGCAGTTTTGAAGGTTAGCCCATTTTTCAAAGCATTCTTACAATGTATGTACCTTGTTGGCAAAAGTATCTGTTGAGACGTTAACTTAACTCTTTTTTAACGTCGAGGAAATACTTCTGGCTTTATTCTTGTTACCCGGCAAGCAACAGGGGTTGATTAGGATTCTTCCCTGTGAACCCACCCAGCCGCAGTCGAGTCATTAGGACACTCAACTATTGGACCATTGGTCCCATCGCAGAGGGAGAGGCTCGGCTCCATCGATAGCCTCTCCCAGACAGGTGAGGCCCAACAATGCAGAGGTGGCTGCCAAGCACCTTCGCTAGCCTCGAAGACGTAAACCTAACCTGATAAGAATTGATTGTCGAAAAACTTATACGTGCGTTCACTGTAAACTGCTCGATGCTTAATTGCAGTAGCGCAACGGTCTTTTCGGTTTTTCTCCTCATGTTTTTACTCGACAACTTATATTGCAGTATTCAAAATATTAAAAACTTATTTTTTTATTTATATTCATATAATTTTACAGATAATATCAATACGTAGTTCTGTAGCGCAACGGATAAGTGCCGCTACCCGCGATTGTTGTTGTTAAGCAATTTTCGTATGGGTTGTTCACGGGATGGGTGACCAAAAAATTATTAAATAAAGGCCTGAACCCCACTACATGGGGATGTAAAGATGCTGAAGATGATATACAATTTGTCAGAGATTAAAATTTAATAAAGCAATAAATATCATAGAAATTTCGGCGAACACAGTACTTCAAATTGATATATTTTTTTTATTTATTAACCGATTGAAATACAGCTTACACTTAATCTTAACGAAAAGTTGGCATAATACAACAGTGAAAACCGCATTATAATCGGTTCAGCCGTTTCTGAGATTATCGTGTACAAACGCACAGGCAAACAGACAAAAAATTGAAAATCTTTGTTTACGTTTATAAATACCTCCCATAACAGTTTTTCATATATCTTCAATGTACAGACATCGATCGATTACTTTTTTATTATAGTATATATACATAGATACTATCATTGACGGCGTGAATTATTTAACTCTGGCATTTCTCAATAGCTAAAAAAGATATTTGCGTCTAACACGAGCCTTAGATAACTCCAATTAACGTTAAATAAATGATATCTTTTATTCAATATTGCTGTAGACATTGTTGTAGACAGAAGGAATGCGATAGATTTTAAAATATAGAGATTGCAAAGTGAGGCTGGAAGTATTTTAATGATATGCTTATCCCAATTACAATGAATCAATCACCAGCTCCAGATAATTTATTGCAAATATAGTTTTGTAGCTGCAAAAAGGGTTGTGGAGCTGCTTGTGGATGTCGAAAGAGTGGTTTATACTGCAGTGCAGCATGTCTACAGTACAACGAAAATACTTGTTTTAATACTCCATCATTAAAATAAGTGAAGAAGAAGAAAATACTTGACAAAAATATTAATTATTTAAATAAACAAATAAATTCTTGATACTTTTTTTCTTTCGTTTTCCTTCATTTTCCTATATAAATTAATTTAAATTTGGTGAAGAAAATGTTCTACAGCCTAACATTATGAGGTATTGTATCATTAAAACTATCTTTTTTTTTAAATCGAGTTCACAATTTTTTATTAGGTAAACTTTTTTATATATATTATAAGCTAAACATTCCACTTTTAATTATAAAATTTCATTCACTGTAACAGAAATCCAAGGTTTTCATGTTTTTAACGCCCCAGGCACTCCACTAATGGGATTGTATAACTTTTAAAGTAGCAATCGCTTTTGGAACGATTAATAATTTGAGTGATCCAGAAACATATTTTGTTTTTGTTGTGCAATAGAATGTTAAATAAACAAATGATAAAACCAATCTAAACTGGTCGAACGAAATAACTTATAGATGTTTACGTCTAACATACTAACGCTTGCCTTTTCTGGGTGAACCATATAAGGCCACACTACCAAATAAAGTTTTTCTTAGTTCATTTATGGTTCTTCAAATTGCGTAGGTGAAGCCGGAGCAGATAGTGCAGTGCTAACAATATGGACGTTCGCCTTTAATCGCCTTCACAAATAATGTTTTATTCCAGAAGATTGGATAAATTATAGTGAGCCAACTTTAAACGATAGATATGCTTTCCTGTAGGCCAATTCTGCTAACGTTTACGTAATAATAGCGTGTCAATAGGATGTCAACTACTCGCATTTTGCCCTTGTACTATCTACCTGAACTCCAATATTATTATATATCTGACTCAATCGATGTGTGAGGAAGACATTGAACTAATAACATTGAACTTTATGTAGATAGTACAATGGTAAAATGCAAGTCGTTGAGATTCTATCGAGATGCGATTATTACGTAAACATTAGCAGAATTGGCCTGCAGGACTTTTTTAAAGCTTTTAAGGGGAACACTTACATACTAAATAAATAATACATGATTTTTTGTCTAATTTTCCTCGTATACACAGTGCACGCGAGGAAAGCTCTCAAGAAGAAAAATGTTTTCATATTTTTTTGCATTGCTGTTCTACTTCTATTGGTCATAGAGTGATGTTATAAAGCCTATAGCCTTCTTCAGTAAATGGACTATTCATCTCAAAAAAACATTTTCAATTCGGACCGTTCAACTAATGAAGCAAACAAAGTTTTCAGCTTTATAATTAGTGTAGTATATATATAGATAGGGTAGCCCAATAAGAATAACCATTTTAAATAGAGAGTATAATACATACGATTTATTTCATGAATTTATCTTTGAGTGCACTTGCACCTGCTTTCAACATATCCACCGCTTTGTTGCCTTGTGAAATCAAGTTCTTGTTTATTTCTTCAAGATTCTTCTTCTACAGGGAAAATGAAAGGTATTTTTGTAACATAAAAACGTTTACTACGTTATAGGGAGTATTTGGGCATATTCAATATTTATACGATACAATACCGCATAAACCTACGAGAATACTATATTCCTGATATTGTGGCTGAAACTCGAAGGCCTTATGGTGAGCGCATCCGATCTGCGATACGAAAGTTAAACAACTTTCGTAATGTCAAGTCATAGAAAGGGTGACAAGAAGCCGTTGATACCGGCTGTATTTGCTGTTACTAAAACCCACCGATCCGCACTGAGCTCGTGGTAGGTGGGTAGGTATGACCCGTTAGCCCAATTCAAGGTTAAGGTGTGATCAAGTTTAAATAAAGTAGTAATCTAAATAAAGGAAATAAAGTAATATAAATAAATATAGTCTTTTGCTTTTATCGAAACTAACAGAACGTCGATAAAGAGTGATTATGGAAATAATTAACAGAGACGGGAGTCAGTGTTCTGACATAAGCTTTTTTTTATCGCGAAAAATCTCTTAGTTCTTTCCATTTGTCCACGGAAAAGCACTACATTCATCGTTTAGATCATAAGCTAAGTAGCTATAATTAAGATCTGTGTAATGAAAATGTGAAATAACGAATGTGCACATGGCAGCACGTCAAGTTCCCACAATGTCTTTTCACAATTGAGACAGAAGAGAGACAGAATAGTGATCTACAAACCGGCGTCGTAAGCCTTTCGGGTAAAGTTGAATTATTCGATCATTGATATAAGTTTAACAATTTATAGTTCATTTACCTGATCAGTTGCAAGTTTTTGAACTACCTCCTTGAATTTTTCGAGTGACACGTTGTCTTTATTCTCGTTGCCGAAGAGTTGACGAACTTTGCCCTCTGCATCTTTGGTAGCGTCGATCACTTTAGCTGAGAATTGAATTTATTGAAATTTAAACTCCAGACCCGAGACAATAACTACTGAAAAGATCATTTCTATAGGAACCTAACCTACTTAAATGTTATTACAGGCATTAAGCCGGTCCAAAGAATTACTCTTTTTGTCTCACAGCTGCACAGTAGACCTCAATATATGTACTTACTTGTTGATTCGTGTAATTTCTATAGTTTTAGAAGACTACACAGAGTTATGTTACATAAGAGCTTCGAGAGTTTCTGCAGTCAATTTTGAGTTCAACAAGTTGATGGTAACTTAAAATCAATTGGATAAATTTGAGTTTTTGTTGTAACTTTCTATTCCTATTTTAATTGTTTTCGAATAACAATTCGGAAAATACCGTATGGGTTCGCTAAAAGCATATCTGTGAAGATTATCTGTGCAACAGAGGCAGTGACATAATAATTTAAAAGCGCGATTCTTTGGAGGCACATTAACATTTCGAAAATAGGCGAAATTTCGTTTTCGGAGAAACAGGTTTTCTGACTGTGGCATATGCTTAGGCCCGTGTCTTTGTTGTGGCGGTTAGTTACCTCTACCTAACCTGTAAGCTGTAGCTATAGGTAAGTATTTTAATGTCGTTATTTTTAGTAGATAATATGAAACTTTAATAGAGAAGCGTGTTTTTCGCAGACACTGAATACAAAAAGCATGTATATATATACTCTACTCTATTCGCATAAAATTAGGCGTTGACAAACTGTCCTCGTAGACATTGAACTACAATAAATCCGGTTAAAATTATATAATGAGTTTATAACGATCTACCATCCTTCATCCATTTGATAAGCTCATCGACGGTATTTTTGCCAGCTTTCTGGAATTTTTGAAATACTTGTTCCATCATGACTGATAATCTCTGTATCGTTCCAATTTTAGTATATGTACTGCCAAAGCAAGTACACTGATAATGTATTCTTTGCTTTATGACGAAGAGTAAAAGAGTAAAAAATGATGATAGAGAAGTTAATTGTTATGATAAAAAGGATTCACATTACTACAAGATTCTCTATGCATAGGTGGTAGGTGCCAAAGTGGGTACAGTAAAATCGTGGTAAATTTAGTGTGAAAGTAGAAAAGTGCAAACACAATAAGATAACTTTGCATATCTATTATTATACGATATAAAAGATAAAAAGGGATTTAAAACTGATATCGCCATGGCCAAAATAGGTATAGTCAACAAATGCATATTACAGTCTAATATTTCATCAGACGATAAACAGATTACATAAACAAAAAAGCAATACGAGACCTCCGACCTTTTTTGGAAATATTATTTATAATTTTCGAAAATAATTGTAATAAATAAGGTATTTTTGTAGTAACATTACCCACCCATCTTCATAGAAGTTTTTATTAGATGTATTTTATTAATAAATATTATGTTAGGGGCCAAACTTGTTTTCAGAAAAAACTGATTTTGCTAGCCTTAACTAATTCTTTTTTATGTGATAGGATTAATCGGTATAGCCTAAATTAGTTCGTACTAAGCCTTATAGGATAAACTAGTTTAGGCTAGATCAAACAAGTATCCCAAATCAAAACTGGTATGGCCAAATCTTAAATAATTTAATTTAAAATAGTTGTAAGTATTATGCTGTTTTCACGCGGCTTCGCCTGCCTAAATCTCCTGTGTATGCTGTAGGTTCTCGTTGGTGAAAAAAAAAATCATAATTGGATTAGTAAATACGAAGAATACCCCCTACAAACCCCCTTCAAACAAATAAACTTTAACTTTTTACATTAGATTAGGTTGTTTGATGATATGAAAATTGATATGAGTTGATATGAAAATAATTTTATCCCCACAAGATAAAATTCTTTTTGATGGAGTCAGGAAGAGCACCGTTCTGTCGAACATTTTAGAGGTAGATTCGGTAGTTTACTCTCTTTGCATCAACCGCTTTTGGCGCAAATCACGTTTTAAAGCTTTAGTTATTATTCTAAGTTCTAAGTTTAAACATTTTAAACGGAATAGTATTTTTTTAAATGTATACATATGAAATATTTTTCTCTGTCGCTTTATGGCAAAATACATACTAATGCGACTGTTTCAACAGAAAGCGTTTGAAATAATTAGGACATGTAACATCGGAGGGTTTTGAAAAGATTTTTCGATATTGAGTCTCAATATCGGATTTATGATATTAATACTGTTTCTTAGGGCGAAACAAGTAATTAAAATTGAAACTTCAATTCATTCCAGCCATTATGTATGTAGTTTTCGGGTAATCTGACAAATACCTTTTCATAGATACTTGCCGGAATCCTAATGCATTTAGTTGATTTCTTTTACAGATATACGTATAATATTTTTTTAAACATTAGATATACTTGCTTATTTTAGGTGTTGGGTCGTTGTGGAAACAGTGAAAATTGCAATTGAAAATTGGACACGCATTGTGCAGAGGGATTCTCTCCCATTTCTAGATAGTGCAACATGTAGGTTATAAAAAACAATTTGTGTTTTGAGATCATAAAAAACACGTTTCGTTCACTATTTGTTCCGTATGTGTTAATTTTATTTTATGTATCAGGTCATCAGGAGAGCAGGTCATCTCATAAGCGGACACAGTGAGTCGGTCTATTGTTCACCTCTAGCAGGGGACTCTTAATACTATAGAATTTAGTCCTTTACAATTGATTTATTTTTTATTTCTATTTCTTTGGAAAACTTACAGTAATAACTTAAGAGTTATAACTAATCTATACATGTAAAATTTATTACATAAAAAGAAATAGTAATAAGAAACTAAAACCCGACTACAGTTAAGTCTCCCTCTGAGAAGTTTTTAATAAGAAATTTATATTGTAGCGATATTATAATTATACCGGATGACCAAAGAACTGCTTATGCGACTGATTATGACAAAACAAACTGTTATGCATATTTCAAATATATACTATATATATGAAACGTTTAGCACATTAAGCCCTTTCATTTTTAGTTTCTTTCTTTATGCTCTCTAGAGGACGATGTTGCGCTGTTGCGTCTAAGTGTAGTTGAAATTTAACCACGAAAGAGCTTATAAAAGGTGATAAGGTTTGTATGAAACATAACCTACTTCGATGAAAATAGGCATTTGAGTAGTTTGAGACCCCGGAAAGGTAATAGGTTATATTTTTTCTCGAAAACCAGTACTTAAAAGGATGAAAATGGGAGTGGACGTTTGTATGGGGAATCAAAATGGCACCATGATAATCAGTGTAAACTTATTGATTATTCATTGCAATAAATATATCTCATAATATTTGTAAAGATTTCTATGAATTAAAGTTATATTTTACAATAGATATAAAATATTCTAGTACAAATCGTTTCATATACGAAAGAAAACAACTTTAATAATTATAATATATTAGATTAATTTTATTCTACATCGTACTGTTTTTGTCGAGGATGAGTTTTCAAATGAAATTAAGCAAGAACTTTAAGCTTTGCTATACTAGTATTTAATGCATGTAAACTGCGTTATTGTTATAAAACTGAAACCAGTTTTTGAATAAGTTTTCTGTAAGCTTCAGATACTTATGTGTTTTTCTTTTCATCTGTATGTCAAATTATATAACGGGAAGCTACATTATTCGCAAGTGACATAGGCAATATTTTATAGTATACAGGCGCAGTCGCGGGAAAACTGCTAATAATATCAATATAAAAACTTATCTTTGTTCAATTTCCGCTATTTTTATTTATCTTTACGTGAGATTAGGATAAGGAATATTATTTCGATGAAACCAACTGATTAAAGATGGAAATAAATTTAAATAAATTTAAAATAATATAAATATTACCTTTGTTATATGAAAGTCTGGCATAAATAGGTATTTATTTGACTCTGTTTTATTAACATTAACAGTTGTTATAGAGGCTCATAGTAGCTCGTAGGCTTAGTGGATAAGCGCTGCGGCTCGCGAACGTTATCGTTAAGCTACTATCGCAAGGGTCGGTCACGGGATAGGTAATCAAAAATTATTATCTTAAGCTACTCCGTGTTTCGGAAGGTCCTGGATGCATCTACAATCGTCAATACCTTCCAATCTGTATTGGGCCGGCGTGGAGGGCTTTGACCCATTCTCCTCAACCATTCATAAGGATGACCCGAGCCCTTGCAGTGGGGACGTAACAGGGACGACGATGATGATGTTATAACGGCAACATAAATATATCTTCTGTAAAAACTTCAACTATCATATCGCGGTTCATGGGTTACAGCCTGGTAACAGACAGACGGACAGCGGAATCTTAGTGATCGGGTCATATTTTCACCCTCATTTATTCCTCCATGGATCCGGCCCTGGAAATTGATGTTAGTGTTGTTCCGCGGAACACTCACCTGGGTCACCTACTTGCTGTATAAAATGATTGATAAAGCGCATATCAAGGCAATTGGTACCCTTATCACTGATAATGATAGACTATGTACAATAAAATATTAAAGAGGACAGTGAACATTGATTGACATTAGTCCAACGTGCGTTTTGTTTATGAATGACAGTAATAATTGGTTTGCAATAGAAATGTAATTTCTAATGAGTTCTGTGTAAGTTCATTGTATGAAACAACTAAATATTTTATCAACTGTAATTGGTTTTAATCTATGTGAAATCGAATTGCTGTTTTAATGGCTCTATTAATTACTTAGAGAATATCAATGGAGTTTAATGGGGATCACTTTGAACATCGTATATTCAAGAGAAAGAAAAAAAAGTATAAAATACTTGTAAGTATTTTTATTCTAAACTTCCTTGGTTATGTGGCATAAGAAATAAGTGTTCATTTAAATATTCATATGACATAATATACACTAACAGTGCTATTAATACATAAGTTACGCTAAAAAGGCAATTTTGGTGTTAGTCCAAATTCATATGATACAGAGAATAAGCAAACCTACTACCTTCTAGGAAATATTACTCCCGCAGAACCTCGTCCTAGGTAAACCTTTGCTAAGTCTCTGTTTGATACTCGTAATATTAATTTTGACTAATACTAAGTACAGTCGTAGCGTAAATTTACTCCAACGCTAAACCTTGTTTATAAGTAGCACTGTTAGATTATAGACTTCTTTATCAAGAATAGAATCATCGAAAAAATTCACAATGTCATTCGAATTCAATGTTTACCAGTAAAACTCAGCTGAATAAATCTGCATTTTACAACAGATAATTTGAAAAAGAAAACTGCTGATACTTTTCTTAAAAATAAACAAGCTTTAGCATCAGAGTAAATTTACGCTAAAATTGTAATTTCAGTATTAGCGCAAATTCATATTATACAGAGAATAAGTAAATAAGCGTAACAACTTATCGTTTCGTCACAGATTTTTCAATGCAGTTGCTCATAAAGCGCTATTTTTTAATCCATTGTAAACACCGAAAGTGAGTCTTTAAACACGTGTTAAATATAAATGTACTGAAATCCTTTACTGCACACGTGCTTAAAAGTATTTTTTTAATTTTTTTTTGGCCGAGCACTAAAGAAATAAAAAAAAAAAAAATAGAGCACTAAAGAAATTAAAAGAAAAATATATTTCGTGCCAGTGAAAACCCTCGCTACGCTCGTGTTTCCAATTTGGCCCTTATTCGTAAAACCTTACTTTCCGCACTCGTATTTTAAATAACTATTATGAAATTCCGGATGTTTTCGTACGAATTTACATACTTCTAAAATACGCAGGGTAATATAAGAATTTGTTATTTATCTAAGAGTATTGTTTACAGCTATCTGCCCGTAAATCTACGGCAGGAAATATTGTACCGAGAAGAACCGGCAAGAAACTCAGCAAGAGCTGCTTTTTTCTCAATGTTTTATTTCACAAAGACATGTAAAGTTAAATA